ATATGTATACACAAAGATTTACATGTGAATGTGGAAGCAAAATCATTCATAATACCAAATCTGGAAATAATCCAAATGTCCATCAACTAGTAAAGGAACAAAATGTGATATTTCAATACAATGGAATATTATTCAGCAATAAAAAGGAACAAACTCATGACACATGCTACAACATAGATAAGCCTCAAAAACTTTATGCTAAATGAAGCCAAACTCAAAAGATCATGTATTATATGATTTCATATGAAACTTCCTAAAAAGGCAAATCACAAGAGAAAGAAAGCAGATCAATGGTTGCCTGGGGCTAGGCCTAGGAACAGGGATTGACTGCAAACAGAAACAAGGGAATTTAAGGAGAAGATATAAATGTTCTAAAACTGGATTGTGGTGATTGAACAACTCTATAAAGTTACTGAACTGTAAGTTTATTGTGGGTGTATTTTTTAACAGGTGTATTTTTATGTAAATTATACTTCAACAAGGGGCTTCCCAGGTGGTGCAGTGGTAAAAAAAAAATCCTCCTGCCAATGCAGGAGACACTGGTTGGGAAGATCTCCTGGAGAAGGAAATGGCAACCCACTCCAATATTCTTGCCTGGAAAATTCTATGGACAGAGGAGCCTGGCAGGCTACAATCCATGGTGATACAAAAAGTTGGACATGACTGAGCACACACATGTATATCTCAATGAAGTTGTTAAAAAATAGCACACTATAAAACAATACTATGTACTTTACAAAGACATGTGTTTATGTAAAGAATCATATCAAATGCATGAGAGTGAGAGGAAGGGTAATGATAGTGGTGACGTACAAATGGTGAAAACAGAGAGGGTTGTCGCATATGGTGAGAACATGCCAAGAACTAGTGAATGTGATTATCTCAGCTTTGTCCTCCAGTCTGAGAAAACAAGTAAGCTGTCACCATTGGGAGCTTTCAAAATTACTAGTAGAATGAGGAAAATAATAGTTATAATTGCTTTCACTGTTCAAAAGCTCACATACATTTTCTCATTTAATTCTCGAAATAGTTCTGTGAAATAGGCATACCTATCTTCATTTTAAGAAAGAAGAACCAAGCAAATTCAGTGACAAAAGGCCCCACGACCACCAAGGCAAATACACATTCACACTGTGGTAGCCATGGAGAACCACCACCTAGATCTCCTTCAAAGAACTTGTTACCCAGCTTGTTACTTGTTACAAGAAGGGCAGTCATCAGCCTCCCGCTGTGACCTCCAGCTGCAGGGAAGCCCATGCCCAAGATGATTCCCTTTCTGGGGCAGGACCCATCAGGAGACTGAGTGGGGTTAGATATAAAGTATGGGGCAGCTCTGCCCTGACGGGGGACACTCGAGAAGAAAATGTTTTCTCAGCGATACCCTGCAGGTTGGCCAAGGATTTGTCAGGCCTGCATCACAACTTAAATTTTGTTCTTTGGCCAGTCCTGCTTTGTCCTCCTTCCTTTCATAAGCATTGAACCCTAATAACTCCTATCAGCATCTGTTTCTCAGTAACCCAACCTGCAATACATCACAACACATGGCCACAAGATAAAATTCAGGCTTTCTGGCTCCTGCTTCTCATGTGGACACAGCCACACTTACATTCCCCAGCCTTTGTCTTAACTAGACTCAAGTGTGAACAAAAGGCTCTGACCAGATCATTTTGTACTTCAGTGCTATCACCAATAGACATGTAACATTGAGCAAAGCATTTTCTTTCCATGGGTCTCCATTTTCTTATCTGTCCATTGAGTGGTCAGGAAAGACGCTCCTAAATTTCACTCTATAGTCAACTAGACAGTTGACTACCCATAGTGCCTACTGAGCCACCAAAATGGCTCTAACCATCCCTACTATACACTCTCTCATGGTATTTCAGTCTCATGGTATTTCCTAGCTGTTAAATTGAACCAACTATGATTTTGGTAAAGGGCCAGCTGCCAAAGTGAGGAGGACAGCGCACCATGATGCCTTGTGCAGGGATGGTGGACAGAGAGAATAGGGACAGCATGAAGTTTCAATCCTATACTGAAGGAGCTGGGCTTGTCCTTCTACTCCATTGAAGTAGGAAAAGGGAGGAGGAGGAGTCTGAGGAATTGGATAGGAATTCAATGACAGCCTCACAAATAACTTCTCCCTCCCCACCCCAATCCAGCATCCCTGCCATGTCTGTCCTAGCAGGCAATACCCTTGCTCTATACTCAGACAACCCAAAGTTCTCTCCTCTAGGACCACTCAAGTCCCCCTTCTCCTTCAAAACTGCCCTTTAACAATATCATCACAACCTCTGCATGCACGCATGCTCAGTCACTTCAGTCGTGTCTCTTTGCAACCTTATGGACTGAGGCTTGCCAGGCTCCTCTGTCCATTTGATTCTCCAGGCAAGAATCCTGGAGTGGTTTGCCATTCCCTCCTTCAGGGGATCTTCCCCACACAGGGATCAAACCTGCATCTCCTGCATTGTAGGCAGATTCTTTACCCCTGAGCCACCAGGGAAGCCCCATAACCTCTGATACCTCCATTGAAACTAGCCTTACAGTGTTAACTGTTTAACTCAGGTAAGTGATTAGCTGTGATGCTCTCAAGAATCCTTACTGGTTTAACAATTTTCCCTCCAATGACTGTGAAAAAACACAGATTATAAGAAGAAATGTAGGAAAACGACAAATATCCAAAATACTCCAAAGTGTTTTTACTTCTGGGGTCTGATTTGTAGTTTCACAACTTGCCCTGTAATCTTAAATGGAAATCCAGATGGTTTTATTCTCTTGAGGATAAACACATCCTCCTGTTACCATCTTACCCCAAATTTTGTCTTTAGCAAGGCGACGTGGATTCCTTGTTATTTAGCCCTATTCTGAGCACAAACATGTAATCTGGCCTGCAAATCTGAGACAGGCTGGGCCGTGAGACCTGCAACCCTTTGCTGCAGTGCCTGCACCTGGACAAAAGTCTCCTCCAGCAACAAAATACAAAGAAACCATTAGGTACTAAAAATATAACTGCCTGCATGGGCGGCTGTGGCAAATTATGAACAAGACACAAAAAGACCAAAAACTCAACTACCACTTCTAAAGAGTCTGGAACAAAAGCAGGGGGCTGTGCACACACCTGGCACACAGCACCACCAACGGGTAGGCAGACCAATGAAGCCACCCCTTAATCCTGGAACCCTAGACCCTATCCTTACCCTCACCCCGCACAAGGAACTACCTTGCCCTGGAGCACCCCTCCCCCATTCCTACCAGTGAGTAAAATCACCTGTTACTTGTTTTTCCTCCCAATAAAGCCTTGCCTGGTCTCAGCAATTTCTATTGATGAAGGAGTCCAACAAACCTGATCGCTAACAGGGTTACCAGAAAGGCTCTCTTTGACTCTATGGGCAGCTGGTACCTCTAAGTATCTCAAAAAAAAAAAAAAAACACTGTCATGACTTCTCTGTAAGCCTCTTTACCTTAAGCCCTAAGAAAATTTCACAAAACTTTCCCAACTTACTTCAGTGCTACTTCCAGTGCTACTGAATCAGTGCAGCCTCAACTAAAGTTTCAAAATGTCCTCATTCTGCTCACCCACTCCTTCATCAAGTGTGAATGAGTGATAACAGCTGAGCATCCTGCAAACCATAACAGAATTTGAGGGAGTGGAAGAAAGCAGCCCACAGCTTAACATCCGTTTCTTTGAAGTCTCCTTATGCACAGAGAAAAATAATGTATCTCATAGACACTATGTAAAGATTAAGTGAAAACTCCTAATCCCCGTAGGTGATAACAATCTTCAAAAGTAACTGGTGGCTCAGTGGTAAAAATCCGCTTGCAATGCAAAGACGCTGGAGATACGAGTTCAACCCCTGGAGAAGAAAATGGTAACCAATTTCAGTACTCTAGCCTAGAGTACAGAGGAGGAGCCTGGTGGGCTCACAAAAGAGTTGGAAATGACTTAGCGACTCAACAACACAACAACAATAAAAGTAACTGAAATGGATGCCAGGAAAGTTTTCGTTTTTTGAGGGTTGCTTTGGGTTTTTTTCCCTGTAAGTTCTAGGAAATCCTGGAGATTGAATTTTTGATCCTGTCTTTAAATATATGTAATACATATATATATATAGAGAGAGAGATTCTAATAGGATGCTGTAAATGGGGAACTGGCTGATGCCGGCTGTTACTGACAAATAACTGAAAGAATAAAAATAATGCCTTCTTTCTACCTGAAACCTATCAGGATTCCCAGTAATAATAGAGACGATATGTTGTTTGTTTCATCACTGCTAGCTTATTTCCATACATTATTACACGTAACATCAAAATAAACGAAAAGATTTGTAATACCGTCGTCTCTGGAGTACTGCCTAAGAAACTGAAGCGTAGAGAGGAGTACTACTAGGTGTTTCTTCCATTTTCATGCAAGCTTAGAACAGAGTAGAGTAGGTCTTCCCCTTTGAATGCAACGAGAACTTCCCTTCTCTGCCTTATCCTGAGCGCCTCTGGTCTCTTAAACCCGAAGCGTGTAGCCCCGTGCAGAAGGCACCGCCTCTCCAAGGGAAGGGTTTGGCGAAACCCCGCCCCGGAGGCGGGATCGAAGTGGGCGTGGTCTCAAGAGGATCCCGGGAAGGTCTGGGCGGGACTGCCTCAGAGCCGTAAAGAGCTCCATGAGTCGTGAAGGGCACGGCGCGGAAGCGTTGCTTTACGACTGTTCGGACAGGCGCGCCGGGTCGGCGTTCACTGCCTGCTAGTTCTCTGATATCCACGTGGGCCGCTCTCCGTGTTTTTGCAGGTAACTCAGCCCTCCTGGCGTGAACCAAACACAGGAGGTGGCAACGGAGGTCAAGGACCTGGAGGTGATAGATTTTGCTGCTGAAAGTGAAGAGATGTCTGGAGGAGGTCTCCAGAGTGAAGCTGAGGGGGCGCGGCTAAGTCAAGAATCAGATCAAGAGAGAGTCAGGGGTACAATAAAGACGGAGGAGTCCGGCGATGGAGAGGCGGAGAATGGTCTGATCAGAATGGAGAAGACAGAGGCAGGGGAAGAAGAAAGTAGACGAGGAGCAGAGATGCGAATGGACCTAACGGTTGTGAAGCAAGAAGTAATGGACTGGTCAGAAATGGTAGAAGGAACGCTGAATGGCCAGTGGGTAAAGCAGGAGCCGGACGAACCTGAGGTGAAAGAAGAAAAACCAGGCACATTGGAGGTGAAGCAGGAGATGGATAGTAATTTGATGGTGAAAGAAGAAAAGGTAGAAACAGAGATAAAGGAAGAGAAAGTGAAGGTGAAGGAAGAAGTGCTGGACTGGTTAGAAGTGAAGGAAGAGAAGAAAGATAGCTTGGAGATTAAACTTGAGGAAGTGTCTCTTGATCAGAATATTAAAAAGGAGGAAATAATGGATGAAGTGTATGTAAAAGAAGAGAAGTATTTCCCCAAAGAAGAAATGATGGATGATACAAAGGTGAAAGAGGAGCCTCAGATAAATCCCTCAGTGGGCTCCAAGCGGAAACTGGCCATGTCAAGGTAGGGCAGCGCTGTGAAGGTCCTTTGTTGTCTAGGTTGAAAGAAACTACACGATCAGTAAGGTGTGGAATAATGAAAAATAAGCGTTAGTTTGGGCGGGGAGTCTGAGTGGTGGGGGGAGGGGCGATTAGGAAAGAAGGGTTTTGTCAGATAACAACAAATTCTGTGGAAATATGTGAGGTTGGTACTAGTGTCCAGTGACCAAGTCAGGAAGTGAAAATTCTTTGGACCGGAAAACCTTTGGACCAGAATCTGGCTTGATTTTGTATGCCCTCGGCTCAGTATTCTTTTGAGAGCAGATAGGTGTGAGGAACAGTCTAATAAAGCCAACAAGAACAAAGTGGAGTAAGTTAAAATTAGGCAAAATGCATTTGAACTAACTCAATTGGCTAGTTTCTCTATGGGTACTATGAACATTTATTGCTTTTGATTTAATTTCTTTATAGTGTGATCATGTGGCAGCAAAGGAAATAAGAGTAGTCAGATTCTTGGGACTATTTCTGTCTCAAATACAGTGAATCAACATGTAGTTTGCTTGTCCCTTTGTAGTTTGATTGTCATTGTACATTGATTGTCACTCATGTGAAAGATCAGTTGAAGACAGATGATGGGTAGTAGTATTTCTAGAGTGTTTTGATGCCCATTCTCAGTTGGATGGGGAACTGAGGAAGAAAGATGCAACCGCTGCTCTATAAATTTGCCTGGGTTTTCTTTTTCTGAATGTGTCTGCCTTTAAGATATATAAACAGCTCATGGATTGGACTTCTGGGTATGTGCACACACACAGTTATTAACAGTGTCAGGAATTACAAGTTAAAATATCAATAAGTTATCTCATTGTCTGATTATATAGAAAAGGAAGTCCCAGTGAGATAATGTTTTAAATTTAATACATGTTTTCTTGAATTATCTATCATTAAACAACATTGTAAATGTAGTGTCATTAAGAAATGGTTTCCTGGAGAATTTTCTAATGATGTTTGACAGCTGTCCATAGAGTTACTTGCATCTACTTTATTCACTGTGACTGCATCTCTGTAAATTGTGATGGATTAAAAGCTTATAAATAAATATATAGAATTAATATTTGATAATTTATTAAGTTTTTTGTGAGCTTTTGTAGATGTGAAACTTGTGGTACAGAAGAAGCAAAGTACAGATGTCCACGTTGTTTGCGGTATTCCTGCAGGTATATATGTAATTTTCTACCTTATTATCTCTGCCTGTACCCTTTTTACCTCAAAGCATAAAAGTTCCTTCTCTTGGTTCCTTCAGTTTGCCCTGTGTAAAGAAACACAAAGCAGAACTAATATGTAACGGAGTTCGAGATAAAACTGCCTATGTTTCAATACAACAGTTTACTGAAATGAATCTCCTAAGTGGTAAGCCATCTTACGTATAGCAGATTGATGCTTCCTGGCCATAGGCATATATCATTTATTTATTTTTCTGTTTTTTTGAAATTTGTAGATTATCGATTTTTGGAAGATGTGGCAAGAACAGCAGACCATATTTCTAGAGATGCTTTCTTGAAAAGACCAATCAGCAATAAACATGTAAGTGTTTCTTCTATTCCTTTCCAGTTAGAATTTCTTCTAATCAAATAGATTCTTTTTTTTCTTTTTGCATTCAACAAATAATATATTAAGTGACTACTGTGATCCAGGGCTATTCCAGTTACTAGGGATACAGCAGTGACCAAAACAAAGTCCTTCCCCTCATGGAACTTGTATTGTAGTGGGAGAGACAGGGGCTGAGTACAGGAACAAATTAATTTCAGATAGAGTTAAGTGCATGTGAAAGATAAAGAGGACAACAGGAGGTTAAAGAAAATTAAAACGGTGTTTGTGGGAGGAGGGGGTTCTGAGAATAGTCAGAAGAATCTTCTCTGAGAGTTGACATCAAGCAGCGATGTGAATGATGAGAAAGAGGCAGTCATGTGATTGTTAGAAGAAAGATTTTAGAGAGACAAAAGCAGAAGTATAGAATGAATCAGGATCAGAGTTAGTGGATTTGAGGGCTTAAAAGAGGAGCCCAGTGACTGTAGCATAGTTGAGTGAGAAGCATGTTGAACAGTAAGGTTAAAGAAACTGATGAAGTCTCCTAATGTATTCAAAATAAAAATGGAGGCCATGGGAGGCAACTGAGCATGTTTGCTTTTTGGAAAATCACTCTTGAGGCTCTCTGGAAAGTGGACTTGAATAGGCAAGAGTGGAAGATTGGAAGCTGGGAGATCAGTTACAAAGCTGTTGTTGTGGTTCTGGTCACAGGTGATGCTGTTAGAATTATTGGGGAGTGAGTAGATGTGTTTTTTTAAATTGGAGTATAGTTGCTTTACAATGTTGTTGTAGTTTCTGTTGTACAGCAGAGTGAATCAGCAACATGTATAAATGTATATCCCTTCTTCCTGGGATTGCCTTCCATTTAGATCACCACAGAGCACTGAGTTCCCTATGCTATACAGGGGAAGTGATTAGATTTGAATTTTGGAAGAAGGGCTAATAGGACTTGCTATTTTAATAAACTTGTTATAATTTCTTTTTCATTCCTTAAGCACTGTGCAAAATTAAAAGCTTACATATTGGAAATATGTTCCAACTGGTGTTCTAAAATTTCTTTAATATTATTTAATCACATAATGGAATTATCTTTGTTTTTCAGAGACCATAGTGGTATGGGAATTGCAGAATTTTAATACTCTTTAAACAGTTTATTTTATTGGTATTATTGGTACAGACATGACATTACACATGTCTGAAGGAAAAATTACCATATATCAAGTTTTTTTTTCTCAAGCTTAATTAGACATAATTAAATTATATACTTAAAGGATAAATTGCTTTTTAAATATCTTCTTTTTATGAAATTTGGCATGCATATAAAAAAGCATAAAACAGAAATATACCATTTAGTAGTAATTATAGAGTGAGCATCCATGTAGCTACCACCTAGATCTAGAGTTAGAACATAACCAGCTTCTCAAGAATTCCTGCCGCCATGTTATGCACATCCCTGAACCATTCTTATTTCTGGGTTTTCTATAATAAATTTTATGAACAATGCTATAGTGAACACTTCTGTTTAGGATTTTGGTTTGCTTATGCATATGTTTTTCTGGAGTTCATACCTAGGAGTGAAATTGCTTTGTTGTGGAGTATGCATGTCTTCAATTTGACTGTATGTTACCAAAATATTTTCCAAAGCGGTGATGCCAGTTTATACTCACAGTATTTAAGTATACCTGTTGTCACATCTGCTCCAGATACTTGACTTGGTCATAGTTTTTAAGCTTTTGTCAGTTTGATGGCTTTATTACTTTATTATGATTTTTAATCTACAGTTGTCCAGTTCTTAATGAGATTGAAAGTGACAGTAAAAGTTGCTCAGTTGTGTCCAACTCTTTGCAACCCCATGGACTATACAGTCCATGGAATTCTCCAGGCCAGAATACTGGAGTGGGTAGCCTTACCCTTCTCCAGGAGATCATCCCAACCCAGGGATAGAACCCAGGTTTCCTGCATTGCAGGCAGCTTCTTTACCAGCTGAGCCACAAAAGAAGCCCAAGAATACTGGAGTGGGTAACCTATCCCTTCTCCAGTGGATCTTCCCAACCCAGGAATTGAACCAGGATCTCCTGCATTGCAGGCAGATTCTTTACCAATGGAGCTATCAAGGAAGCCTCTTAATGAGACTGAGCACCTTTCAAATATTTTATTGGCCTTTGGATATTCCCCTTTGTGGTGTATGTTAAGTCTTTGTTCATCTTGTCATTGGTCTGTTGTTTTTTCCTACTGGTTTTCTTTGTGTTTTTAGATGATGATGTTGATTGTGTATGTTATAAATCCTTTCATTCTGTGGCTTGTGTTTGTACTTTTTTTCATGTCTTATGGTAAACAGCTTTTTAAAATTTTAATGTAGTAGAAATTGTCTTGTGTTTCCTTTATAGTTAATAGTTTTATGTGTTTTTAAAGAAATCCTTCCCTTCCTTGAGATTATGAAGCTATTCTCCTGTAATGATTTTCTGAAAGCTTTGTAGTGTCACATATCCCATTTATGTCTGTAAATATGGAACTGATTTTTGTCTGTCATGTGAAGTAGAGGTCCTATTTAATTTTCCTAATGCATAATCTACTTTTTCTAGCACCAGTTATTGAGAAGTTCATCCTTTCTCTACTGCTTTGCAGGACCATCTTTGTTATACATCAGACATCCACATATGCTTGGCCTGTTTGTTTCTGGCCTGTCTGTTCTATTCTGTTAAACCTCTTGTCTCTCACAATGATTATAGTCTTTCCTGAACTCACAGAAGTAAATCTTCTCACTTTGTTCATTGTTTAAATTAGACCACAGCCATTTTTCTAGGATATTTTCTAGAGTATTGTCTGAAATACAGATGTGGCTCTTTGTAACTTTATACAAATGTGAAAATCAGCCAACTGATTTATAGTCCTACCTTCCCCACTTGGGTATTTTGATTGGATTTGCGTTTATTTTGTAGAGTTACTTGGGTGATTCGATTTTATGGCATTGAATATTTAAATCCTTGATTGTTGTATCTCTGCATTTATTTGGGTCTTTAACAAGTCTGTAATTTCCTCAGTGAAGGTTTTGCACATTTTTTGTTAGACTTATTCTTGAGTACTTTATTTTTTCATAGTATTTTAAATAGTATTTTCTTTTAAAATTTTTTATTATCTCTTTGCTGGTATTCAGGAATGAAAGGTTTTGTTGTTGTCCATTTTATGGTAGTAGCCATATTAAAATCTATTCCAATACCTTATCTATAGATTTTTTGAGGTTTTCTCTATAAACAGTTCATCACAATTTGTTTCTAGCTTTCTGTATTTATCTCTTTTTCTTACCTTATTAGAATAGCAAGAACTTCCAATAATGTAAAATAGTAGTGATGATGGTAGATATTTAAAGTCCACTCCTGAGTTTGATGATTTGCTTGAGGGGTTCACAGGATGCAAAATGCAATTGAACTCATGGCTAAAGTTTATTACAGTGAAAGGATACAGAGAAAACTTTGCAAAAGGAAAATGTGTATGGGGCCAAGCTTGTAGGAATCCAGCCACAAGCTTCCCAAATTCCTCTCCTATTGGAGTCATACGATACACAGTTAATTTCCTCAGGCAACAGGTTGTGATAACTAATGTTTAAAGTTTATTGTCTACCAGGGAAGTCATTAGAGACTCAGTACCCAAGGTTTTTATGGGGACTGGTTGCAGAAGCACCCTTAGCCTAACAGTTGCCAAGTTCCATACACCCAGAAGGAAAGCAGTTAAAAACCACATTTTTGTACAATTTCAGCATAATGAAGCAGAATCTTTCCTACCATTTTAGGAGAAATTTTTTGTCAGTGTAGGGTCCATTTACTAGTCAGCCAAATTGCCAGACACCAGCCAAGAGCAAACCTTGCCAACAGAACTTTCTAAGGATAAGTTTCAGGCCTCGTATGTTAGCTCTTTTCTATATCTTTGTTTTATAACCCTGATCACAGAGGGAAAAGTTTGAAGATTTCACCATGTTTACTTTTCAGTTTTTTGTGGGTATAGTTTAATATCTAGATTAAAGAAGTTCTGTTCCCAGTTTTCTAACACATGTTAACATGAATGGTGGTTATATTTTATCAAATGTTTTTTCTATATTTTATTATTCTTTTAATATATAATATTCTAATAAGAATATGAATAATAATCTTTTAGCTAATTTTCTATTTTAAGCTAAACTTCCATGGTGTATTACTGTCATATCATGCTTTTTATACTTTGTAGAATTCAGTTGTGTTATATATGTGTACACATTATCCTTTCATTCATTTTGCATTTCTGTTCATGAGTGAGATAACTTCTAATTTTCCTTTTTGGTATTCTTAAGTTTCTGTATTGATGTGATTCCAGTTTCATAAAATTATTTGATGATGTTCCCATTTTGTTCTTAAATACATTAACATTGGGATTATTTCTTCCTTGGGAGTTTGGTGTAATTTTTTAATGGGCTGCAGAAGTTTATTCTTTACTGTTAATGGGACTGTTCAGGTTTTCTCTGTCTCACGTCATTATTCTGTCTTAAGACTACATTTTCCTAAGAATTTGTTCGTTTTACCTAAATTTTCCAATGTATTGGCGTAAAGTTCTTCATAACATTTTCTTTAATGTATCTGTAGGAATTGTAGTATTATCATTTGTAATGTTGCTTACTTGTGTCTTTTTTCTAGATTAGTTGCTGTTACAGATTCCTTTTCTATTTAGTTACTGTGTCCTCTTGACTTCTGTTATATCCTTTTTTATCTTTAGCTTAATTGCATTATGGTCAAAGAACATATTTTTTTCTGAGTTCATTTTTTAAAAAATACATTAAGACGTGTTTATGTCCCAGCATATAGTCAAATTTTGTAACGTTTGCTGTTTTCTTGGGGAAGCGGGAGAAGTATTCTGCAATTGCTAAATGTCTTACTCTAAACATAATCCTTTTAGATCAGGTTTGTTAAGTATGTTGTTCAAATTATAACATTACTGATTTTTTGTTTGTTTGTTTCTTTCTTTCTTCTACCAGTTACTGAGAGACATATGTTAATACTTCCCAATAGATAAAATCAGAAGGATTTGTATGTTTCTCCTTGTGGTTCAGTTAGCTTTGCTTCATATGCTTTAAGGGTACATTATTAGATGCATACTTCAGGAAATTATTGGTGTATTTAACCTTTGGCCCTATGTTGTAACCCTTTTTGTCTCTCAGTTCAGTTCAGTTCAGTCGCTCAGTCATGTCCTACTCTTTGTGACCCCATAAATCACAGCACACCAGGCCTCCCTGTCCATCACCAACTCCTAGAGTTCACCAAAACTCATGTCCATTGAGTCAGTGGTGCCACCTAGCCATCTTATCCTCTGTCGTCCCCTTCTCCTTCTGCCCCCAATTCCTCCCAGCATCAGGGTCTTTTCCAGTGAGTCAACTGTTCTCATGAGGTGGCCAAAGAATTGGAGTTTTCAGCTTCAACATCAGTCCTTCCAATGAACACTCAGGACTGATCTCCTTCAGGATGGAGTGGCTGAATCTCCTGGCTGGAGAGTCCAAGGGACTCTCAAGAGTCTTCTCCAACACCACAGTTCAAAAGCGTCAATTCTTCTGCACTCAGCTTTCTTCACAGTCTAACTCTCACATCCATACATGACCACTGGAAAAACCATAGCCTTGACTAGATGGACTTTTGTCGGCAAAGTAATGTCTCTGCTTTTTAATATGCTGTCTAGGTTGGTCATAACTTTCCTTCCAAGGAGTAAGCGTCTTTTAATTTCATGGCTGCAATCACCATCTGCAGTGATTTTGGAGCCCCCAAAAATAAAGTCAGCCACTGTTTCCACTGTTTCCCCATCTATTTGCCATGAAGTGATGGGACCAGATGCCATGATCTTGATTTTCTGAATGTTGAGCTTTAAGCCAACTTTTTCACTCTCCTCTTTCACTTTAATCAACCAACTCTTTAGTTCCTCTTCACTCTCTGCCATAAAGGTAGTGTCATCTGCATATCTGAGGTTATTGATATTTCTCCCGGCAATCTTGATTCCAGCTTATGCTTCTTCCAGCCAGCGTTTCTCATGATGTACTCTGCATATAAGTTAAATAAGCAGGGTGACAATATACAGCGTTGACATACTTCTTTTCCTATTTGGAACCAGTCTGTTTTTCCATGTCCAGTTCTAACTGTTGCTTCCTGACCTGCATACAGGTTTCTCAAGAGGCAGGTCAGGTGGTCTGGTATTCCCATCTCTTTCAGAATTTTCCAGTTTCTTGTGATCCACACAGTCAAAGGCTTTGGCTTAGTCAATAAAGCAGAAATAGATATTTTTGTGGAACTCTCTTGCTTTTTTGATGATCCAATGGATGTTGGCAATTTGATTTCTGGTTCCTCTGCCTTTTCTAAAACCAGCTTGAACATTTGAAGTTCATAGTTGACGTATTGTTGAAGCCTGGCTTGGAGAATTTTGAGTGTTATTTTTCTAGCATGTGAGATGAGTGCAATTGTGCAGTAGTTTGAGCATTCTTTGGCATTGCCTTTCTTTGGGATTGGAATCAAAACTGACCTTTTCCAGTCCTGTGGCCATTGCTGAGTTTTCCCAATTTGCTGGCATATTGAGTGCAGCACTTTCACAGCATCATCTTTTAGGATTTGAAATAGCTCAACTGGAATTCCATCACCTCCACTAGCTTTGTTCATAGTGGTACTTTCTAAGGCCCACTTGACTTCACATCCTAGGATGTCTGGCTCTAGGTGAGTGATCACCCCATCGTGATTATCTGGGTCGTTTTTGTCTCTGGCTTTCTGTGTATTTGTCTGTTACTAAACTGTTTCACTCCTTTGGTGTATTTTGTCCCTGACTTTTACTTTAGGCCTTTCTGTGTCCTTATATTCTGTGTGTGTCTTTTCAGAGTTCCATATGGTTGAGTTCTAGCTGTTCTCCATTCTGACGTCTGTAGCTGTTAATGAGTCTCTTCCTGGTTTGGTTCCTGTGTACTAAGGCTTACTTTCGTCTTTATTTTTTTTTCATTGTGGTGGCTTCTGTTGTTGCAGAGCTCAGACTCTACAGAGCATCAGCTTTAGTGGTGGCAGTATACAGCTCAGCACCTGCGGCACTTGGGCTTAGTTGCCCCTTGGCATATAGGATCATAGTTCCCAAACCAGGGGTCAAACCTGCATTGGGAGGCGAATTCTTAATCACTAGACACCAGGGAAGACCCCCTTTTTTTCTTATATTGGTTATGCTTGTTTATTTTTTGTTGAGTACTCCTTTTATTTTTCCCTTTAAAAATTACTTATGAGAATTATTTGAAGGCTGGAATAAATAAATAGGCCTTCTTTTATTCTACCATGTACCTAGAAACATTGCAGATCTAGACTACCTTAAACCAGGTTGAAGGCTTAAGATTACATTAATCCCAAAGCAAGGCAAATCATTTCAAGTCTGAGCATGGACCTTCATGGCCAGGCTAGACGATTTCTAATCGATTTTTCTTTTTCCCCCTGTTCCAGTCAGACTGATAAAAAAATTCCTGGCATGCTCTGGTGACCCTTATCCTGAGGGTGTATTATTCTGTGACTCAGTTTCATTTCATTTGAGAGGAGTTTCCACAAACATTACTGGATCTTGACTGTCTTGCTGAGGAGGCTCTAGAAAGGGGAAGCCTATATTTGCCATAAGTAGCAAAAGTGGCTTCGGTGCTTTTTGCTTACTTCTCTGAGTTTCACTTTTCATTAAATATTGGCCTGTAGTTTCCCATTTCTATCTGCTCTTCAGTGCTTTTAAGGTGATCTTTAAAAATATTTACACACACACATATATATATACACACAAATATATATAGCATTCTTAGATGTTTTCAGTAGGAGAGTTGGGTCCTTATAATCACCATCATTACTGAAACCAAAGTTCCATGCACTGTGAAATTGCGTGTAATTTCTTAAGTCATTTTCTTACTGACCCTCTTTTCCCCTTGATTTATGACTTGATTGTCTAACTTTGTACATTGCAAAGTCTAGATGCCACTCACTTAAAAAGTTGCATTTATATTTTGCTACTTCTTTGAGTGATTTTTCTTCTTCCTTGATGATATTACTTCCTTCAGTACTCTCTGGAGTTGACTAATTCAGCTCAACCAACCTTCGTGGTCAGTGGAATGAATAATACATGTCAGAGCTAGAATTCTCATACCTCATTTTGTACATCCTATATCAGTGGCTACTTTTAAGTTAAGCCTGTACTAGGCAGCACCATAGTTCCTTCCCTGAATGAGCCACCTGCCTAGTAATAGAAGCAGGCATATATATAGCTAACTATGGTATGAAACCATCAGTAAAAAAGAAGGAAAAAAAAACTGTATAGGTAATCCCTGTGATTGCTAAAACCTGTATTTTTTTTAAATCCCCATGAAATTCTTCTTTTGGCTTATAGGATGTATGGTTAAAAGCACAGACTGAAGTTAGACAGACCTGGATTTAAATGTAGACTTTACATCTCTGACATAGCAGAAATGAAAGTAATAATAGTACCTGCTTCATAGTATTGTGAGGATTAAATGAGATATTGCTGTTTAGTGTAGTTTGTGAAGCATAAGTATTCGATAAATCTTAACTTATGTTTTAAACATTGTTTTATGTGCTTTTGGAATTTAAGCTATTTGAGAATTAATTTGTCTATTTGTTTTTGTTTGTTAGATGTACTTTATGAAAAATCGTGCTCGAAAGCAAGGTATTAATTTAAAACTTCTACCCAATGGATTCACAAAAAGGAAAGAAAATTCAACATTTTTTGATAAGAAGTAAGTTTCTGACTCCTTTTTTAGTATATTAGATGTTCTAATTTGATGAGGAGCATCTTTTAAGGTTTGGTTTGCTTGGAACATTGCTCCTCAAAGTCTATGAGGTGTTTGTCATTGATTGGTACAGGACAAGATGACTGCAGAAACTGGACATAAGCGTTTAGGAACTTATGCTAGTTTTATGTCATGTGTGACTTGAACATTTTGGGTTTGCTCCCTGTGTGTTTGAGAGAGAGAAAGTAGTGTGTATATGTGTGTATCTTTCTCTCTGAGACCTAAAATACCATGAAAGTATTTCAGAAGCTTCAAGGACAAAACAAGAAGTCAAAGCAGAATTTCTGCATATTTTTAACCAGAGGAGCTTGACTTTTATACTCGTTTCTATTTTGGAATTCCAAATAGTAATTCATTTGAAAGTCAGTGATGGAGAAGAAGGGAAACTTGGAAAACATTTACTCTATAGAAAATCTGAATAGAGATAATACATTAGAGATTAGTTTCTTGCTCTCTGAAATTGCTAGATCAAAAAGGCCCCATTCATACAGAAGAGAACAGGATCCCAAAGTACTGTAAGTAGCCCATTAAATTATTAGATAATACCTTTACAAAGTCAAGATTCTGGTTTTAGAGTCAAAAAGCCTGAGTGAGTCCCTCCCTCTTTAGCTTCTTAGTAACTGCAAGGCTTTGAGCAAATTACTTCCTTTCTCCAGGCTCTATCTGTATAGTGGTGGGGGTTGAACCAGGTAACTCTACAGTTCCTTTAAAATTTTACTACTTAAATTAAAAAAACGGAACCATCAGAATTATCATTATTCTAAAAATCTTCCACCTTTTCAACAGATGTTATATTTTTAGAGAATGGTGTTATCCACTTATATATTTCAAAACAGATAGTTATAAAGGTGGTTTTCTCTTTTTTTGATTGGTTTCTAAGATTATAGTAATATTTTGCATTTATCAGACTTCCCTGGTGGCTCAGATGGTAGTCTTCCTGCAGTGCAGGAGACCAGGTTTGATCCCTGGGTCGGGAAGATCCCCTGGAGAAGGAAATAGCAACCCACTCCAGTATTCTTTTTTTTTATTTTTTTCTTTTTTTTTTTTTCTTTTTATTTTTTTATTTATTTTTTATCACAACCATAGTGTATCTTTTTTTTTTTACATGTATTCCCCATCCCGGTCCCCGCTCCCACCTCCCTCTCCACCCAATCCCTCTGGGTCTTCCCAGTGCACCAGGCCCGAGCACTTGTCTCATGCACCCAACCTGGGCTGGTGATCTGTTTCACCCTAGATAATATACGTGTTTCAATGCTGTTCTCTTGAAACATCCCACCCTCGCCTTCTCCCAGAGTCCACAAGTCTGTTCAATACATAGGAGTCTCTTTTTCTGTTTTGCACATAGGGTTATCGTTACCATCTTTCTAAATTCCATATATATGTGTTAGTATACTGTAATGGTCTTTATCTTTCTGGCTTACTTCGCTCTGTATAATGGGCTCCAGTTTCATCCATCTCATTAGAACTGATTCAAATGAATTCTTTTTAATGGCTGAGTAATATTCCATGGTGTATATGTACCACAGCTTCCTCATCCATTCGTCTGCTGATGGGCATCTAGGTTGCTTCCATGTCCTGGCTATTATAAACAGTGCTGCGATGAACATTGGGGTACACGTGTCTCTTTCAGATCTGGTTTCCTTGGTGTGTATGCCCAGAAGTGGGATTGCTGGGTCATATGGCAGTTCTATTTCCAGCTTCTTAAGAAATCTCCACACTGTTTTCCATAGTGGCTGTACTAATTTGCATTCCCACCAACAGTGTAAGAGGGTTCCCTTTTCTCCACACCCTCTCCAGCATTTATTGCTTGTAGACTTTTGGATAGCAGCCATCCTGACTGGTGTGTAATGGTACCTCATTGTGGTTTTGATTTGCATTTCTCTGATAATGAGTGATGTTGAGCATCTTTTCATGTGTTTGTTAGCCATCTGTATGTCTTCCTTGGAGAAATGTCTGTTCAGTTCTTTGGCCCATTTTTTGATTGGGTCATTTATTTTTCTGGCCACTCCAGTATTCTTGCCTGGAAAATCTCATGGATGGGGGAGCCTGGCAGGCTACAGTCCATGGGTCGCAAAGAGTCAGACACAACTGAGCGACTTCACTTCACTTTGCATTTATCAAATATGAGATAATTCTTTTGTGTGTTTTGAAACTGACTTAGCAGTTGACATGATTTGTTTGAAATTTAACTGGTTTGTGCCTTTTGAAATATAAAATATATTCCTAGTTTATGAAAGAAAACATTCAGAGCCTCAAATGTAAAACTTTGAGGTCTTTAGATACATAAATGTTTATGGGAAGTTTTTTCCAAGACTACTATATTCAGTGTATTTTCTGGGTTTAGATTACAAATTTATGCTGTTATTTTGGAATACCTCATCTGTGAAGTAGCAAATCAGACTCTTTTTGCATTATGCCTTTTACTCATGAATTTGCAATGATTTGGGCTTGCTGTTTTTATATTTTTAGTGTCTTGCCATGAAGAGATTAGCAGCATAGAACACAAAAGACTTTAATTAGTTTTTCAGCTGTTTTCACCTCTGTAAAATGGAGTTAATGATAGCTACTGTGTAGTCCTGACCTTAGTGTGTTAACTTACCTAGACACTAACCTGAAGGTAGGAAGAAGTCAGCACATAGGAGCAATTGTAAAAGTAATAAACCCTCAGCATAAAGAGTTTAAAGGAAAAATAGCAACGGTAATTCCACTATGTAGAGACAGCAAATGATAATATTTCAAGTTTCCTTCTCGTCAGGTTTGCTTCTTTTTTCAATTAATAAGATAAAATGTAATATTAAATACTTACATAAAAGTATAAAAATTTGCTTGACTCTCCTCAAGTTAAGCATTATTTATAAATAAAGGTACACTTTTTTTCTACAGCTGGCTTTTTCCTATTTAGCAATACATTATGAACTTCATGCTCGTTAATGCTAGTCTGCCTCGTTTTAAGTAGTATATTTCAACTATGACTACTGTATCCTAATTTATTCATTACCATATTCACGAACAGTTGCTTAATTTCTGGTTTTTTGTTATTACAAATAATGCTATTGTAAACATCCTTGAACAAATTGTTTTGCATGCTTATGTGACTTTTCTGTAGATTGATTCCTGATAAGTGGCATTACTGGGTCACAGATTACATGCATTTAAACTGTTGAGAGAAGCTCCAAATTGTCCTCTCAAAAAAAAGTACCACTTTGTAGCTTTTACAAGACTGTATGAGTACCTATTTTAGTTATACTGTGCTTTAATTGAATATTATTAAACTTCTTTGCCTATCTGATTAGAGGTTGAATTCTTCAAGTTTTTCATTCAGATACACCTTTTTATCTCATCTTGATCAGTTGCATGCATTTTAAATGTTTTTACCTGTCTTTTCATGCTTAATTTTGCCTTCTAGTCATTTTTGATGCATTTTAAAGAATTGCTAAAAAAAAAAGAGAAAGGTTCTATAAAACCTAAAGGTAGTAAAGTGAAGTGGTTAAGAACACAAACTGGAGTTAGGCTGCCTGGGTTCGAATTTCTGACCTGCCTCTTCTAGCCATGTGATACTAAGCTAAGCCATCTAACTTCCTTGTGCTTCAGTTCCTCGTTTATAAAGTAGAGCTAGTAATAAACTAGGGATAAGCCAGTTTTCATTTCCATTTATAGTAACTTAGAAATCCTGTTTAAACATTTCACTAGCATTGAGTTGTCTTTTTTTTAATATTTGTTGCTATTTTGGAAAGTGGAAATTGTTTTTGGTTTTTTTTTTTTTGGAAATTGTTTTAATTTGCTTTTACTTAATTGCTACTTAGATATGGAGTATTTGCCCACATGTTTCAAATTTTAAAATTCACATTTTAAAATTCAAATGTGAAGTTTGACTTAATCCAGTCTGTGGTAGTAAGATGATCTTAGAACTGTTTTGGTAAAATAAATAATTCAGATCTGTGGGACAGAATTTTTCCATTTGTTCTTTGTTAAATTGCCCATTATTATTTCTAAATGGAAAATAATCATGCCACAAACTGAATTTAAAATGTCTATATTTGGATGTTCCTTGAATAATAAAGCATGAAGGTCAGTTCCCATTTAGTTGATAGCTATACTTATTAGTTAGTCAATAGCCATAGTCTGCTGAGTTGGTTAATAGTTTGGAAGTCTTTTGAGTGTGTCTTTATACTTTGTTCATTTTTCAGCATTTTCATCAGTGATTTAGGTCATGATTTCTTATCTTGGTGCTGCTAACATATTGAACCACAGAGCTCCCTGTTGTGAGTGTGCATTTTAGGATGTTTAGTAGCATCTCTGGCCTCTACCCACTGGATATTGGTAACACACACAAAGGCATTCTTTGTGATACCTGTGGCTTCTCAGACATTTGTATGAAAATGGTAAAAACTTTTGATGATCATAATGTTATTTGCTGGAAGGAAGGAAGAAGGGGATACTACCTCTTATCAAAGAATTATTTTTACCTCCAATATCTCCGATATTCTGTTTTTAAGAAAATTGTTTATAATGCTTTTTTAAACTTTAAGAAGTGGTTAAAGTTTTGACTGAGATAAACATGAATTTGAATATTGTTTCTGTACTTGGTATATGTTAGGTGTCCTTGGACAAAAGTGAATTTGTTAGATTGTTGATGGGAATAAATGAAATAATATTAAAATAATACCCAGCACTTAGTAGATAATGTGCAGCAATAAAAGATCTGCATTTTCATACTGGAAATCTTTGGGAATACATTTACTATGTTATATTCATTCCTAGTAGGTCTAGGGCAGCATTATAATCAAACAATACTATTTCTGCAGTGAAACCTCCAAATGTTTACATTAAAATGGGAAAATAATGAGTTTAAATGAGCTCTGTTAGTTTCTTGCTGCTGGAGGAGTTATGAAAATCTTTCAGCTTCAGAGATTCGGGGCTTGGAATTGTTGCCATGTGATTTTGGT